GAAGCACATGCGGGAGATGCACACGGTGTGCAGGATCGCGTTAGGAGGGAAGAGAGCAGCAGGCAGCGGCGCGGGAGGGGTGAGGACTTGCTCCGGAGAGCCGGATTGGCGTATTTTGGGGTAGGAGACGAAGTATGATACGACGCATAGCTGCTCCATCAGTCGTCAGGCGGTAGTTCCTGCTCAGGAAGGGGCGCTAACCCATTTATGATCCCAGCCTCCTATTGTGCTCCTGATCTCATACCTTCCCATAATCGGGATCTCCTTTATGAAGGAATAGTCGGCAGCCCCCATAGGGCAGGTTCCCTTATACGAGGAAAACCAGGTCAGGAAGAAATCCGCGCCAAACTGCATGCGCATTATATCGAGCGTCTTGGCATAACTGCTATTGCTCATGTGCCCGAACATGTCGCAGTCGTCGGGGGTTGCGAGTCCTTGCATTACATGAAGGCAGGAGAAGGGAGAGACGCCGATTGGATTGTTTGCTTCGAGAAACTTTTGGCGATTCCATGACAGGAAGCGACGGCAGTACCAGAGAAAGTCAGAATCGAACAAGACTCGGACTGTGGGGGGAGAGGGCGTAAGTGGCGGTGGAAAGCAAAGGAATGGTTGTACTGTGCCACATGAGTGGGAAGGAACGGATGTTGACCGCGAGCAGGAGGATGAAGAAGTACTTGAGTACTGTCCCCAGCGAGGGCAGGAGGTCCAGCATCGTCATTATTTTCGTTAATCGTCCAGAGACCGTACTAGTGGATAAGTGGAAAGCGCGACCAAGCGGAGCAAATGACTCCAGTTATATATATGTACACCCCCGGGTATGGGTGGTATATTCCGATATTTATGCCGGCTAGAGGATATACCCATCACTGTATTGTTCACCGCCAGGATGACAAAGAGATCAGTATCCGCTTAATTCAGATCAGGGACGACCGACTAGGCAGGATATAGACATAGGCAATAATTGGGAGGGAATTGAGTGCGCGTATTGGTCTAACTGAGTGAGTGAAACCGCGCAGGCTACCCGCGTTTTGGCCCAATATTAATTTATTGGGTCAAAACCGGTGAAGAAGCACCTTTTTGCGTCCGCTCAGTCAATCACAAGTTTCAAATCGTGCTCCGGCTTGAAAAGTCAAGAAAGGTTGATTATTTAAACCTCCTTTCTTAACCCAAGAAAGGGAGGTGCAAAACGTGGTGAGTTGGGAGGGAATTGAGTGTGTGTATTTGACTGACAGAGTGAGTGCAGTTCGACTGTGATATGCATGCATATGATATCTCCGACCAACTTCGCCCCTGACAAACGAGCCAATATTAGGAATGTTCCTTGCTAGCAAATGATATCTTTTTTTTTTAAAAAAAAAAGAAGTGATCTTGCATGTAGTTTACCGAGAGATCCGCAATGTCTCGAGTGGACGTTTAGTTGTCAAACATGCTCTGATACCAAAAGAAGGAACCCTGTGGCAGTGCAGTGTATGCTTCTGACTCGGATATACTAGACTGTATATCATAACTCCGTCCTAGCCGGATACCGGCGGACGCTTCTTCATCGGTACCAATCCTATATAGTGAAGCAAATGGCAAGAAGCCGGGGGAAAAGCCACGCGCGAAGAGCACGTGGTTCGCGTGGCACCAAGGAAGTAAATCCGGACCCTAAGTCCAAAACTGGAAGTGGAACTAAATCTGCTTCCACTGCGGGAGTGCGGGGTCCCTAGGAGGCTGAGGGTTACTTAACCCTGGCCCTTTTTAAACCCTACCTCTAACCCATATCCCCAAATATTCAACATATAATATATTAAATACATGCATGCAAGATATAGCACACATGATGTATATTAACTACAGAGCTACATAGACTGAGAAAAGACTTATAACCCAAATAGATACTCTACCCTGGACCTTTACTATATAAAGCACTCACAGAAACAGGACAAAGGACATGGGACACAGGACACAGGACACAGGACACAGGACACAGGACACAGGACACAGGACACAGGACACAGGACACAGGACACAGTGATCTGACCCAAAAGGTGTCCAAAATATAAGGGGTCCAAATAAGTCAGTCCGATGGGTGGTGTGTGAGAACTTGCTAGGGAAAGAGGGGAGAGAAGGGGAAAGTTGGTAGAAACACTGGAGTCAGCCTGTAGCTGAGCTATCAAAAGTTGGTTCACAATAATCGGAGCTCAGTGTCCATCAAGTCAAGTCACAATAAGTCAAGTCAAGTACATCAAGTCAAGTCTGCCAATATATGAATAATCAGATCCATATAACTCTAATGGAAAAGGGGGGCAGAATAAGTGTCAGGGCACACAGCCAGATATCAAAAGTATCCTCATATCAGGAGCCCGATAAAAGCAAGAAGCAGCAAGGAGAGCACAAAAGCTCAAATTGTGGTCAACAGTAGGGCCAATGTATCAAATCAGCCCAAAATGCCTTTAGTCACAAGAGAGGTGTAGTGGAGTCATGAACAGTCTGAGGGGGTTGAAGTCTAGGTTTGAACACCAATCAGAGAGTCAAAGAGGTTTGGTGAGAGTTCAATCTAGGTTTGTCACTATCTGACAGTGGAATTCCTGAGAGATCAGCTCTAAGGGGCATAAGGCTCCTAGAGCTGGTATATATACATGTAGGAAAACAGAAGTATAATGGAATCAAAAGAGTAGCTGTGGGACTGTACAGTTTACCATTGTTTAGGGTGGTGCTTCAAAGAGGTCGAGTGGTTTTGCTTCAGGGTCGGTGGCTTTGGGCTATACTGAGGCTGAAGTAAGCCTTTTGGTGTTGATTGTATCAAATTTGCACTGAAACTGGGCAAACCCTGACAATAAGCTAGATACAGGAGTTTCTGGAAACTACTTATACTAGCTACTCTAGGCTGTGCTTAATACTAATCCAGTCTCTGGATACCTCACCAAGGCAGGCATTGGCATGCCAAATATCCATGTGGTCAATCCCATTGCAGAGGAAACCCATACTTGTCATGCCAAATATCTGGAGGGCTGAGGCTCATTGCTGGGGTGTGTTGTCCATGTGGCAAGGGTCTGTAGTGCTGCATAACAGTCTCTAAGGGCCCAAAATAACTGTGGGAATACCAGCCTGACACACCCCACCAGAGGTGGGGTTGTTCAACAGGACATGGGACATGGGAAACAGGAGATGGGACATGGGAGATGGGACATGGGAGATGGGACATGGGAGATGGGACATGGGAGATGGGACATGGGACATGGGACATGGGAGATGGGACATGGGAGATGGGAGATGGGACATGGGACATGGGACATGGGACATGGGAGATGGGAGATGGGAGATGGGAGATGGGAGATGGGAGATGGGAGATGGGAGAGAGGAGAGAGGAGAGAGGAGAACAGATTTGGGCTAGACTGACCCTGTGTCAGGGCACCAGCTCATTGGTTGGTCAAGAGAAATGACTAAGCCTTTATGACATGGAAGTAGCTGGTATACCTTGGCATGTGCTGGAACCTGCTGGAAGGATTGGATGGTCAGGTGACCTGCTGTGCATGGCTGTGCATGACCTCATATGACCTCATCCTTGGTCATATGACCTGATCACCTGACTAGGCTGAGTAAGCAAGATGTTCTAGCAGGTTCCACCACAGAGGTATAAATATAAGGCCTACTCTGCCTGGGACTGTCTCTTCAGACTTGGTCTCTTAGGATCATCCACAGATACCTATACTGTAGATAGGTCTTAGTCATCAGGTCTACTCC